AAACCAATGTGAAGGGAGAAAGACTAACATATTAAACCCATGTGAAGGGAGAAAGACTAAAATCTGATCAAGATACCAGGATGGCTCAGGAGCAGCATAAGCCAGCTGGATGCGAAAAATGTATGAGACAACTTGTGGGATGGCACCGAGGAAGCATTGATGTTGAATGCAAACAACAGTGGCTCCTCCAGCCCCAAACAATGAGGCGACAGTATTAGGTACGAGATGGCATGTGCTAATTGATAACATCAACCTAGGTTAAGTGTTTGAAATGGACAACTTTTTGCTCAGTCCAGACCTTCATGTCTGATTAGTGGTTCAGACCATGGGCTCTTCACAGAGTGAAATGCCAGCCTTAGTACAGTAAAGACAATGTTCCCTGAAAATAATTTTCCAAATACTGTACTGTACTGAATTATTAATAATGTCACTGAATTTATTAAAAATAATATCCAATATGTTAATATTTATTAGATCTATCTAATTTCTGATTAGTATGTAGAAACTTGAGCAGTGTAAGCAGCCATTTAATATTTCTGATGTCACCAACGTGAATGTATCCTTGAGCCACCCATTTCATATTTATGTTGATTGCCCGCCGAACACACACCGAAACTACGACGTTGGTACAACGTTCCAACAAGTTTTAACACCTCCTAACCAGTTATAACAACCAATATAACAAGTTGTAACAACATTCTAATACATCATAAACACGTTAAGCCAAGATGTAACAACTTTATTACAAGTTGTAACAAGCGGAAAATAGAGACAGTTACGGTTTGTGTTTCCAGGGTGATGTCCTTGCCTAATTTTCCACATTTTATATTTTCTATATCTTGATTTTTATCTCCAGTAATTTTCTCTTGGAAAATTCAGAGGGGTTCTTAACCCCTATCACAACACCCTCTAAATCCTCCCATACAACAGGTCAGCACAAAAATGGATTTTGTGCACGTACTGTAAAGATGACAAAATAAAACAGCCACTCCATAAAAATTTTATAATTTAAGGAAAAATTCTGTTATCAGTGGGTTACATGGCAACCAAATAGTATTTTACATTGTAGATTGCTAATACAAATCCAAAGCCACTTGCATCAAATATTATAGTATCAAGAGACCAACCATGACTCAAGTTCAAGTTCAAGTATGTTTATTGAGATAAGCAAGAAATACATCTCAAAGGGATAGAGTAGCTTAGGCTATTTCTACCCCCCTAACCATGACTCTCCACATTACAACAACTAGCTCATGCAAGGTATAAGCCTCAAATGTGAGACAGCTTTGTAAACTACAATTTGAAAACGAACCAAATAAAACTTTTAATATTAATTCTGGAAGCTACCATCAAGGGGAATAATGAACCTGAAAATTAAGGAAGTGTATTACTGTACATAGTTACAAGGCAAATGAGTAACAAATTTTAAGCAATTCTTTTCAACCATTTTTGAAACAAATATGAATTATAAAATCTCAGCCTAAATAATTTCAAGCAAAATGACACTTGGAACCAGTAATTTCAATAAAGACACCAGCACATCATCTGATACCATAGAATGAGTTTAACAAATTTCACGACAATACACCACTTCCCTACTGAAAGATTAACTGCTCTGCTTTGAAAACTTTAGTTCTTCCGTTAAAGTGACCAAAGTACTACACTCATCAACTTCAAGATAAAGCTTGGAGATATCACCATTTATAGGAATTTCAGAGAGACATTCCTAAGTATCATTCACAAAATTAATTGGTCCCCTGGAACAATAAAGATAAAATCCTTTATTATACCTATGGAGATGCCTAATACCACACACACAACATACTGAAGTAATTATCAAAGGTATACTGAGTAATTATCAAAAGTACAACAATTTTTGGTTCATAAAAAATACATAAATAAATAAAATACAGTAATTGTTTAACAAATAATCGCGTAAGACAATATATTGACTTAATAAACTATACAATTTAGGAACATTTACATTATGCAATTAAGCAATTTTTGCAATTATCACATTTATATTTTTAAAATAAGCAAATATTTATCACATAAGGCAGTTAAAAGTAATGTTGGCACAACTATTCTCCATGTATAATACACATGTGTGAGGCTATAGTAATAATACACATTTGTGAGGACTCCTATGGTAATAATACACATTTGTGAGAATTCCTATGGTAATAATAATACAAATTTGTGTGGACTCCTATGGTAATAATACATTAGTGAGGACTCCTATGATGATAATACATATACACTTAAGAACATGAGAATGAAGGTAACTGCAGAAGGCCTTTTGGCCCATACAAGGCAGCTCCTATTTATATCCACCCAATCTCATTCACATATATGTCTAATCTACGCTTGAAACAATCGAGGGGTCCTACTTCTATTATGTTAAGCGGTAATTGGTTCCACAAATCAACAACCCTGTTAAACCGAACCAGTATTTTCCCAGGTCTTTCCTAAATCTAAACTTATTCAATTTATGCAAAGTGTTTCATGTTCTATTTGGTGTGTTTCGTGATCTGTTTTGTGTGGACTCCTTCAGTAATAATTCAGTCCAGTTGGGTGGACTCCTATGGTAATAATTACTTCACCCATATTTTATACATATGCCATCTGATTTACAAATAAAACTATCTAAAGGACTATTTTATTTAATCAAATACTTCTGTTACTCTTTTGGATCTGCATATCTCACATGCCACTGGTGGTAGTTTTAATATACTGTATATTTTTGTTAAAGAAAATGGTCTCTACTTAACTAAATACTGTACAGTACAGAACTGTATCTCAACAACCTATAAAATTTGTTTTGCTAATTTTATGGAAATAAAAATATAATGTAAATGGGTATATACATATACACAGTACAATGAATTGAAAAGGACAAAAACATTAAGAACAACCCAGCGGGTTTTCTTCCTATTGGGGAGTGTTGTACATTCTGCTATGGCGGTATGTTCGCTCACGAGATGAGTGGCGCTGCCCAATAAACTCGCCCCTCGGGGCAAAATTTAATTAACTATCTTGGCTGCTTTAAGAGATTCAGTATTTTCTTAGGTGCATAACAGGACACAAATTCTAATGTGCCAATGTAATCAATAATTGTTGTATTCTGTACAGTATTTATCATTTTAGCACTGATATTATGTCTTATTGCACCTCTATCACACATTAGAGAGAAGGCAGAGATTGCATAATTATTGAAGATCAACAGCACCTCTTCACACGGTGTGGGGGAGAGAGCGAACTTGCCTCTCTAATACCATAACAAGGCAAATTGCAGATGGGCATCAAGTGAAACTATTAAAGCTATACAAGCATTACATAGCATGGATTAAGAATAAAAGAGTGAAATTAACAATCCATATAAAACATGAGAATTAGTGTAATACTGTATAAGTATATACACTGTGTGTATACACAGCTACATGTGAACAAAATATTGCTCACGTGTAGCTGGCTGCAGGAAGGGATCGCTGACCTATATGGAGCATACCTGGAGAGGGTTCCCAAAGTATTTCAACGCCTCGAACCAGTCCCCTCCGGTGACTGATCATAATTTACATTTGGCTTGGAATACTAATCATATGTTAATAAATTTGGCATAAAAATAATTACCTAGTTTTCATCTATGGTTGCACTCTATTTAGAAAGAGAGCAAAGACTGATGCAGCTTGCCTAAATGGCTGATCTTACTTTACTTAAAGTAAACACAAATGTACAAAAATTTTAATTTCAGGATGTTCGCAATTACGTAATCACTGAAAGAATGCTAACATGCACTATTTCAGACAAGGAAAACTGTTCTTTAATAACAATTCCTGCCACTTCCCAAGCACAGCAGCTCACTAAGACATACATTACCCCATCTCCCACTTTCATCGGTATATATGTCGTACCTAGTAGCCAGAATGCACTTTTCTGCCTACTATGCAAGGCCCGATTTGCCTAATAAGCCAAGTTTTCATGAATTAATATATTTTCTCTATATTATTTCTTATGAAATGATAAAGCTTCCCATTTCATTATGTATGAGGTCAATTTTTTTTTATTGGAGTTAAAATTAACGTAGATATATGACCGAACCTAACCAACCCTACCTAACCTAACCTAACCTATCTTTATGGGTTAGGTTAGGTTAGGTAGCCGAAAAAGCTAGGTTAGGTTAGGTTAGGTAGGTTAGGAGTCGAAAAACAATTAATTCATGAAAACTTGGCTTATTAGGCAAATCGGGCCTTGCATAGTAGGCTGAGAAGTTCTTTCTGGCTACTAGGTACGACATATATATATATATATATATATATATATATATATATATATATATATATATATATATATATATATATATATATATACTGTATATATATATATATATATACACACATTGTATATATGAACAAATCCACAAGGGCCGTGATGAGAAATCCTCTCGAACCTACGCCCAAGAAGATTTGTTCATTTGATGCATCACACTATTATAATTTCTGTGTGTGTGTGTGTGTGTGTGTGTGTGTGTGTGTGTGTGTGTGTGTGTGTGTGTGTGTGTGTGTGTGTGTATATATATACAGTATGTATATATATGTCGTACCTAGTAGCCAGAACGCACTTCTCAGCCTACTATGCAAGGCCCGATTTGCCTAATAAGCCAAGTTTTCATGAAATAATTGGTTTTCGACTACCTAACCTAACCTAACCTAACCTTTTCGGCTACCTAACCTAACCTAACCTATAAAGAAAGGTTAGGTTAGGTTAGGTAGGGTTGGTTAGGTTCGGTCATATATCTACGTTAATTTTAACTCCAATAAAAAAAACTTGACCTCATACATAATGAAATAAGTATCTTTATCATTTCATAAGAAAAAAATTTGAGAAAATATATTCATTCAGGAAAACTTGGCTTATTAGGCAAATCGGGCCTTGCATAGTAGGCTGAGAAGTGCATTCTGGCTACTAGGTACGACATATATATATATATATATATATATATATATATATATATATATATATATATATATATATATATATATAAAATCTATATATATCAGGTAAATATGTATCAGTGACCTACAATGAACTGTGGTAGGTCACACATACATGTGGCACCTCCCAAATCCAGACCTTCCTATAATGGACCCCTCTAAACAACACACACCTAATTTGGCCACCAGATCTCTCCCTTCCAAATTTTTAACTTGTGAAAAAAAGTCTGTACAGTATTCTGGAGGGAGTCCCTGTGAAATCCAGACCATTATGTAAAGTCTTGCAGATCATATTTTTTTTTCCATATTTATTTACATTCTTGTGCTTTATCGTTCAGTCTTGGTCAGTTTAGTAATGGCAATATTGAGTGAACAAACACTATAAATTTTATACGATAGCTGAACAAAAGAACTGGCATAAACCTCTCCCACCCCTAATGGGTTTGGATACAGGAGACTTTACAGAATCTTTATACTATTAAACATTATTGTCCAGCTAGGCACAAGTCTGCACTTAACGGGACATTGTCAGTAAAAATGCTTCTATACTGCATTTGGTTTTTCTTCGTGCAAATTTTCTCCCTTACTTTTATTAATTAATTATTTATTTATTTATACAAAAGTTCTTACATTCCTATAAAACCACTAACACACACAGCATTTTGAGCAGGCTCCGAATCTTAAATGATTTGGCGGGTCATATTTCAGAGAAAATTAACAACCAGGCAGCCATTCACTGCTAGGTGAACAGAGGCATACAGTTAAGGATTGGCACCTAGTCAATCCTCCCCGGCCAGGATGTGAAGCTAGGCTAAATCGCTCATGAAGCATGGGGCAAGTGTGTTACCACTGTGCCATGGCAACTTTTGCTGTTGTGAATAAGCCAATCTCAAAGTTACCACTTTAAAGTCATAATCTTATCACTTTTTCAATCATTAATTTTCTGACCTGCATGAACAGCCATGTGAGAAATAAGGTGACACTTGCGGTAGAATAGTTTACCGCATTCCTCACATTTAAATTTTTTTCTGCCAGTATGAAGAATTTTATGCCTGACGAGACTTCCTTTGACGGCGAATAATTTCCCACATTCCTCACACTCATATTTTCTCTCCCCTGTGTGAACAGTCATGTGGCAGTGGAGGCTACCTTTCTGAGTAAAATATTTCCCACATACCTCGCATTCAAACTTTTTCTCACCTGAGTGAATAGGTATATGCTTCCTGAGGCTACTTTTGTGGAAAAACATTCTCCCACATATTTGACACTCGTACTTCCTCTCGCCCGAGTGAACAGGCATATGGGTGGTGAGACTAGTTCTCCGAGCAAAAACCTTTCCACAAATCTCACATTCATAATTTTTCTCACCTGTGTGAGTAGGAATATGTGAACTAAGACTAATTTTATGAGAGAACAATTTCCCACATATTTCACATTCATACTTCTCCCCTGTATGAACATGCATGTGGCTCCTCAAGCTACTATTTCGAGCATACACTTTTCCGCAGAGCTCACATGTAAAGTTCTTTTCCCTAGTGTGAACAATTGTGTGTGTTTTAAGATTACTTTTTTGAGAGAAAAATTTGCCGCATATCTCGCACTCGTATTTCTTCTCAGCTGAATGTACAGGCATATGACTAGAAAGTTGACTCAACTCGGTAAAATATTTCCCACAGTATTTACATTTAAACCTTTTTTTATCCGTGTGAAACAACATATGTAAAGTGAGATCATCTTTCCTCGAGAACAATTTCCCACAGTCTTCACACTCCAATAATTTGTTACTCGCGGCTGCTGCGTGAGTGAGCATGTGAGTATTAAGGTGACTCTTTCGAAGGAACATCTTACCACAATCCTCACATTTAAACTTCCTTTCGGATGTGTGAGTAAGTTTATGTTTTTTACAGGTGCTCACATGAGTAAATTGTTTCCCACATTCCTCACACTGAAACCTTTTCTCGCCTGTGTGAATAGGCATATGAGCAGTAAGATTAACCTTTTGAGAGAATTGTTTACCACACTCTTGACATTCAAACTTCTTCTCACCAGTGTGAATAGGCATATGAGTTGTGAGGTTGCTCTTTTTACTAAACCGTTTATGACAAATCTCGCATTTAAATTTTTTCTCACCGGTGTGAACTACCATATGACTGGTTACATTACTCTTCTTAGTAAACAATTTTCCACATTCTTTACATTCATACTTTTTTTCCTTGATATGAACAGGTCTATCCATTGTATAATAACCTTAAATTCATGTAATAAACCTCCAATAAACTGAGCCAATAATGAGGCACTACATTTCATTATTATGCATAAAATATCAAGCTCAAAAAATTCAGCTCAATGTTGTAGGTAAAATAATACAACTCAATGTTAAGATACAGTAACATGCTTCAGTGTTGAAGGTACAACAATATTGTTCAATATTACGGGTAAACAAAGTCACAAAACAATGAAAAAGACACAGATAGAACCAATTATCTACAATTCATACTCAGTAAGTTTCAGAGAACATTCTTCCAGAAAGTGTCAAGTTATCAGAAGACCACGGCAAGTCCTGGGTCTTGCTGGCCGTGTCTAGGAATGATGCAGCAGATTTTGCGTGAGACGGTAACCTTATGTGATGAGCATTCGTTCAAAATTCACATAGCTTAAGCTAACCAGCAACTGATATGTTTGATCATTTCTTGGCCTTGGAATGCAGCATTGTACCTGAAAATATCCATTTATCATGCTTATATAATTAATCTTTTATAATGAGAACTAAGTTTTTCAAGCAAAATTATACAGCTAGGCACTGAAAATTATACAGCAGAGTACAAGTATTGAAAATTATTAACAACTTGGATAGAGAAATTTCCAGATTTGCAAATTGTAGTTTTTCTATTTACAATATCTTAGCCTAATGTTGTGCTTATCTCACTGCCTACCTATGAGTACAGGGAGTTTGTTCTAGCTCCAGGGACCTGCCTCAAAGATATTGTACTATCTGGTGAATTTATACCTCTTAATGTTACAGTGTTGTGTAACTTGACCAATGTTCCTTTATATACAATGTGTTCATTAACATAAATGTATAAAATGAAAATTACATAAAGGATAAATTGGTTTTTACTTATGAATGAAAGAAAGTCCAGTACATTAAAGGGATACCTGGTTTACTAGGTATACAGCATTTGATACTGTTCTGGGAGGATGATGAAAAGGAAGAAAAGAATTCATGTACAGTGGGGCCTCGACTTACGATGGTAATCCATTCCCAGAGACGGATCGTAAGTCGAAATTTTGTAAGTCGAAGCGATTTTTCCCATAAGAAATAAAGGGAATTGAATTAATCCGTTCCCCCACCCTCCAAAATATTAACTTACAAATACATTTTATACTGAATACAGTTTTGTTCTCTAACTTCAATACAGTACATATGTTTATCTTACCTTTATGGAGGACTCTTGATGCCGTATAGAAGATGGTGATGGGGAGGGGGGGAAGGAGAGGTGTTACTGTTTGGAAAGGGCATTCCCCTTCCATTATAACATCAGGTAGTGATGACTTTTCTGGGATACACTCTCTGGCATGTTTTGCCTACATACCACTAGAACCTGCTTGTGGCTCACTGCTTGCTTGTCTTACTAAGAATCTGTCTAAAAACACTTGTTTTTCCTTACATTTTAACACTTGTCTGTAGTAAGACATCACATGTCATTTAAAAGGTCAATGCAACGGCCTGCTACAGCTTTATCTGGGCGAGTTTTTTCAACAAAACTTTGCAGTTCTTCCCATACTTCACACATTTTCTTAATGAGGAAGGGACATCCTCTATTGCCTCAACTCAACTATTTTCTTAGGTTGAACCTTACCACTGACTTTCTGCGACCCTTGGCGCAGAAAGTCATGGAAATAATCAGTTTTATGTTCAAAAAGCAAAAAATCACCACAAAAACGGAATTTCTTATAGGCGTGATCATCACTAAGCGGGCAGTTCACTAATGGGGCAGTGATCTGCACTGACTCGAAAGCAGCGTTACAAAACCTAAGTAAAAATTGGGCCGAGAATCTTGCGATAGTCGCTAACATTAAGAGAGCTGCATGGGTACTAATCAACCAGGGAAGAGCCTTCAAGTTTATGTGGATCGCCTCCCATGTTGGAATATGTGGGAATGAACGAGCAGATGTGCTGGCTGCTGAAGGAGACCATATTGAATACTTCATACACAAGACTCTGCTACAAATTAGAGATACTGTCAGGCAACATCACCGTGACAAGGTAACTGAGGAAAGGAGGATAGAAGCACAAACTAGTGAATCTGTACGCGGGTACAACATGGTTGCTGCTGGCAACCCTAATCATTATGGATGAAGAGGAGGTGGCCAAGGGAGAGAATCAGTAAAAGCGAGAATCTGTCTTGGATACAAATATCCATGGTGATTCAGAATGGAAACAACAGCTGAGCAACAGAGTTACAGAATCTATGATGAGAGTGACAGACACCACCTTGACCACTACCTGAAAGAATGTGAACACCTGAGAGACATTAGAAATATGTGTAGAATAATAAACTGCACATTGTTTGAGTTAGGAAAACACTATCTGTCAAATATTGATACTGTTCTTAAAAGATTCCCTTATTTTGCACCCACAAAATAACGTAAGATTTTTAAGGGTTGACAGATGTTAATCTTCTTGTTTGAGGAGCTGTTCACTTGAGACAGTTAAGCAAGTCCCAGCTGTGTCTGGGTACAAGTGACAGGATGAACAACCCAGCGGGTTTTCTTCCTATTGGAGAGTGTTGTACATGCTGCTATGGCGGTGTGTCCACTCACAGGATGAGTGGCGCTGCCCAATACTGTCACTATGGTGGTGTGTCCACTCACAGGATGAGTGACACTGCCCAATACTGTTACTATGGCGGTGTGTTCACTCACAAGACGAGTGGCGCTGCCCAATACTGTCACTATGGCGGTGTGTCCACTCACAGGATGAGTGGCGCTGCCCAATATTGTCACTATGGCGGTGTGTCCACTCACAGGATGAGTGGCGCTGCCAAATACTGTCACTATGGCGGTGTGTCCACTCACAGGATGAGTGGCGCTGCCCAATACTGTCACTATGGAGGTGTGTCCACTCACAGGATGAGTGACGCTGCCCAATACTGTCACTATGGCGGTCTGTCCACTCACAAGACGAGTGGCACTGCCCAATAAACTCGCCCCTCGGGGCAAAATTTAAAAATAAAATAAAAATTGTCATTACTAGAAGTTGCAGTGCAAGAACTTTGTTATTAGCAATCATTAATGACAGAACAACTGACCACTATCCTACTTTCCTCATAGCAAACATTGACACATCACCACCAGAAACCAAAAAACTTTCATTCAGGCTACATAGTGAATCAGCTTTAGGCAATCTCTCTAATGCACTTCACAATATTAACTGGGAATCTGAATTTAATAATTCACAGGATATAAACTCATCAACTAACCTCTTTCTCTCCAAAACTCTAAGCCTCTACAACACTCACTGTCCCCTCCTTACCAAACAAGTAACTGATAAAAGAAAAAATAACCCATGGCTCACAAGTGGCATAATTAAATCAATCAACAAAAAACATGAATACGAAAAGAAATTTAGGAGTGGCCTAATTTCAATGGAAGTAGTTAAAAGGTACTCATCAGTGCTTACCAGTATCATAAGAAAAGCAAAACTTTCATATTATGAGACTAGATTCAAAGAAGAAAACGGCAACATGAAAAGCACATGGAATACCATCTCTAACATCCTGGGAACTAAACAACACTCCCACAACCAGATAACACTCTCTAAGAATGGCCTTACACTGTCATCTGACTTAGAAATGGCGAATGAATTTAATAGCTTCTTTTCATCGATTGGTGCTAACCTTGCAAGTAAAATCCCACAGACTCAGACACATATCAACACATATCTCTCAGGCAGCTATCCAAACTCTCTTCTCCTCTCACCAGTCAGCCCGTCAGATGTTGTGTCCATCATACACTCACTAAAAACCAAAGCTGGGAACATCAGTGAAATCCCATCCATTGTATACAAGAGCGCCTCCCATGCCCTTGCACCACCTATAGCTCTGCTGTTCAACAAATCCCTTGAGTGTCATACCTTCCCTGATATCCTTAAAAACGCAAGAGTAACGCCAGTTCATAAAGGAGGTAATCCGTCAGACATAAACAACTACAGACCAATATCGAACCTACCCATACTATCAAAAATATTTGAAAAAATTATCTACAAACAGCTCTACCCCTATCTCGTAAAATTCGACATTCTTAGCCCCTGTCAGTTTGGCTTCCGCTCTCAAAAGAGTACCAACGATGCAATTATTAGTCTCCTTGATATAATTTACTCTGCCCTTGACAAAAATGAGTTTCCAATTGGACTCTTCATTGACCTGAGAAAGGCCTTTGATACTGTTAATCACGATTACCTCTTATGTAAACTCCATCATTATGGAATCCGAGGCCATGCACTGGACTATATCCAATCCTATCTTAGTGATAGACACCAATGTGTAGCCATCAATAATATAATCTCTCCCATTCTACCAATAACCGTTGGAGTGCCTCAGGGCAGCATCTTGGGACCCCTACTATTTCTTATATACATTAATGATCTGCCTAATGTCTCTAACATTCTGAAACCTATTTTGTTTGCTGATGATACTACCCTCATTTACTCCAACCCCAACCCACATACACTAAATGATGTTGTTAATAATGAACTAAAAAAAGTCCACTTATGGATGTCAACCAACAAACTAACACTTAACATAGAAAAGACCTACTACATCCTATTTGGAAGCAAATCTACAAATGCAATTCAGCTTCAGATTGACAATGTAAACATTAGCAATAAAAATGATGGAAAGTTTCTTGGCATATTCCTAGACAAGAGACTCAACTTCAGTACCCACATACAACACATAACTAAGAAAGTCTCTAAAACAGTTGGTATACTCTCCAAAATCAGATATTATGTTCCTAACTCTGCTCTCATCTCTCTATATTATGCACTAATCTATCCCTATCTCAACTATGGTATCTGTGCATGGGGTTCAACCACTGCAAACCACCTCAAGTCCATCATCACCCAGCAAAAATCTGCTATCAGAATAATATCAAATTCTGCTTTCAGACAACACACAGCCCCCTTGTTTAACTCCCTAAATATGCTAAACATAATCTCACTCCACAAATTCTCTTGTGTCAACTACATTTACAAAACCCTATTCTTAAATGCAAATCCTTGTCTGAAACTCTTCCTGAACAGATGTAATAGGACCCATTATCACCACACCAGAAATAAATATCTCTTCGATATCCCCAGAGTTAAACTTAATTTGTGTAAACACTCTATGCAAATAAAGGGACCCAGTTTATGGAATTCACTCCCTACTGAATTGAAAAGCTGTCCAACTTTTACATCATTCAAAATCAATACTAAAAAGTACCTAATTTCATCTTCATAGTTTTTCTCTTTTTGCCTTAAAATTGCACTGTATCAATTGCTACCCAATCTCCCAACCTTTTTGTTCCCAATTTGAACATCTTTACCATTGTGATCATTGCTGTTTTCTTATATGTGCTGCCAATCTGTTGTATGGTGTTTATAAATCTTGTTTATCTGTATCTTTTGCTACCCAGTCTCCCAATCTTTATGTACCCAATCTGAACATCTTTACCATTGTGATCATTGCTGTCTTATATGTGCTGTCAATCTGCTGTATGGTGTCTATTAATCTTGTTTAAATTACTAATCAAGCTGTCAATGTAATCAATCAGAGCGTTAATATAACAATGTGCTTTAATATACTTATCTCTCTCATCTCATTTTTCTCTTGTAATGTATCTTTCATTTATCAATTCTGATTGAACTTACCTACTTAAAATTATCTGCTAGATTAAGGACCTGCCCGAAACGCTGCGCGTACTAGTGGCTTTACAAGAATGTAATTACTGTACTATCCAATGTATTCTCACAAACCCAATGTACCTTCTTGTATATATATATATAAATAAATTAATTACACGGTGTACAGATTAATTGTAAAATCGAATGTCAAATATCCACCGAGGTCCAATTAAGACTTTTTGTGCCCTCTGTAATCCTTTTGCACTGCCGCTCACACGATGTGTATGGGGTGCACAAAAACTAGCTGCCCTCCAAAGGATACCTGATCAACCAGGCTGTGACTCATACGTCAGGCTGCGAGCAGCAGCGTCCAACAGCCTGGTTGATCAGTCCGGCAACCAGGAGGCCTGGTCGACGACCGGGCCGCGGGGACGCTAAGCCCCGGAAGCACCTCAAGGTAACTAGCAGCAACAATAACAAATTTAGACGTATTTAAGTGTAAACACTATCTTCTGGAGATGATTTCGGGGCTTAGCGTCCCCGCGGCCCGGTCCTCGACCAGGCCTCCTTTTTGTTACACATCCCCCAGGAAGCAGCCCGTGGCAGCTGTCTAACTCCCAGGTACCTATTTAGTGTCTTACCACTGCACTACGGGGACTACAACTCCCGGACACATGACAAACACTCAACATGTTAGTGAACATGCGCAGTGATAAACATTTACATTTCATACCGTGTTGACTGACGAGTGACTGGCATCAGTAGCAGGAACAGCATTGTTACAGCGTCACCGTGTTACAGTGTCACTGTGTTACACCGTCATTGTGTTACAACATCACTGTTACAGCGTCACTGAGGGAATAGCACTGTTACAGCGTCACCGTGTTACAGTGTTACTGAGGGAACAGTGTCACTGTGTTACAGCGTCACTGAGCTACAAATCACTGTTACAGCGTCACTGAGGGAATAGCACTGTTACAGTGTCACCGTGTTACAACGTCACTGTTACAGCGTCACTGTTACAACATCACCGCGTTACAGCGTCACTGTGTTACAGTGTCACTGTTACAACATCACCGTGTTACAGCGTCACTGTGTTGTAGCGTCACTGTGTTACTGCATCACCATGTTACAGCGTCACTGTGTTACAGTGTCACTGTGTTGTAGCGTCACTGTGTTACTGCATCACCGTGTTACAGCGTCACTGTGTTACAGCGTCACTGTGTTGTAGCGTCACTGTGTTGCTGCATCACCGTGTTACAGCGTCACTGTGTTACAGTGTCACTGAGGGAACAGCACTGTTACAGCGTCACTGAGGGTACAGCACTGTTACAGCGTCACTGAGGGTACAGCACTGTTACAGCGTCACTGTGTTACAGCACCAGTGTTAGGACGTGTCCAGAGTGTAGACTTCTCACCTAGTGTAGTACTGGAGGTGACAGAGGCCAGCGGCACGGCCCTCACCTCTCAGTGTACGACCAGTGTTGTGGTGGGCGACACGCCCAGTGTAACCTGCTCCCTCTCCTACCCTGCTCTTGTTGGGTCGTCTCGTACACTCTTCTTGTTGTTGTCGTGGCTCGTACACTCTTGGTGGGGTTGTTGGGTCGTCTCGTATACTCTTGGTGGGGTTGTTGGGTCGTCTCGTACACTTTTGTTGTTGTTGTTGGGTCGTCTCGTACACTCTTGTTGTTGTTGTTGTGTCGTCTCGTACACTCTTGTTGTTGTTGTTGTGTCGTCTCGTACACTCTTGTTGTTGGGTCGTCTCGTACACTCTTGTTGTTGGGTCGTCTCGTACACTCTTGTTGTTGGGTCGTCTCGTACACTCTTGTTGTTGGGTCGTCTCGTACACTTGTTGTTGGGTCGTCTCGTACACTATTGTTGTTGGGTCGTCTCGTACACTATTGTTGTTGGGTCGTCTCGTACACTCTTGTTGTTGGGTCGTCTCGTACACTTGTTGTTGGGTCGTCTCGTACACTCTTGTTGTTGGGTCGTCTCGTACACTATTGTTGTTGGGTCGTCTCGTACACTCTTGTTGTTGTTGTTGGGTCGTCTCGTACACTATTGTTGTTGTTGTTGGGTCGTCTCGTACACTCTTGTTGTTGGGTCGTCTCGTACACTCTTGTTGTTGGGTCGTCTCGTACACTTGTTGTTAGGTCATCTCGTACACTCTTGTTGTTGTTGTTGGGTCGTCTCGTACACTATTGTTGTTGTTGTTGGGTCGTCTCGTACACTCTTGTTGTTGGGTCGTCTCGTACACTCTTGTTGTTGGGTCGTCTCGTACACTCTTGTTGTTGGGTCGTCTCGTACACTTGTTGTTGGGTCGTCTCGTACACTCTTGTTGTTGGGTCGTCTCGTGCACTTGTTGTTGGGTCGTCTCGTACACTCTTGTTGTTGGGTCGTCTCGTACACTCTTGTTGTTGGGTCGTCTCGTACACTCTTGTTGTTGGGTCGTCTCGTACACTTGTTGTTGTTCAACATATATATATATATACACACACTAAAAGAATAGGGGTGGTAGGAGAAGAAAATATCAAAGTGTTCAAAATATCAAAGTATTGGCCCATACTTCCTCTTGATGCTTCTATATTTTATATTATGCTTCTATATATAGACTCCGAACCAATATAGAAGCACCAAGAGGAAGTATGGGCCAATAGGCCCTCTGCTGTTACTTCCATCCAACTAATACCCATATTGTTTCGTGTTCTGTCTCCCATTTGTCACAAATTTGTTCACCTCATCCAAAACTGTTGCACCATATCACCTCATCCAAGTGCGAGTATATGTAAGACGGATAAGCTGTTTAGTGTTTGTATAAGTAAAACTCTGTTTAGTGTTTTCAGGTTACAGTTGTGTGTGTAAACTAAAGTCTTTGAGTGCAGTTGTTCTGACAATGGGCGATGGCTTGTACTTTGAGTGGGGAGTCCGTATAAACAATTGGGCCTCTACCCTTCAGACCGAACTATTTGGCTTGATCCTTGCACTGAAATGTGTACAAGTCTCCAAACTTGATACATTAATTGTAAGTGACTCCTTATCATCCTTAAATGCTCTCAACTCTTTAAGACATAACTGCAACATGTTCGTGTCCGAAGCTAGACACAAATACAACAAAATTATTAAGGATGGTAACAGAGTCCATTTCATATGGTCTCCATCTCATGTTGGCCTCCGAATGCATGATAGAGCTGATAAGTTAGCCAAAGAATCTGCCTTTAAAGGAGCCGTTGAGTGTAACCTTGGATTGTCAATGAGCAATCTGAGAGCAGCAGTACACCGAGAACTTCAACAAGATCTTGTAGATCTGAGGCAAAGTGAAATTGACACCAGTAATTCCATCTATCATCATACTATCATGCAAGAGGAGCCACACATCTATGGATCATCCAATAAAATCATCAGGCTTCTAGATGTTACTACTGCTCGGCTTAGACTCGGTTACATGTATCTCTGGGAATTCTCATTATCTGCCGAGGTAGACCTGACCAAATGTAAACTGTGTCAACAAAATTATTCGCACACCCTCCGTCACTATGTGATGGAGTGCGAAAAGATACGTGAATTTAGAGACAATTCTATAACCAATGTTCCAGCGATGTGTAAATATTTCATTCAAAATGATCTGTTACCAGATATTTTAGCCAAATATCCCCAGTTTGCTAACTGTAGGTAGTAACTAAGTGATTGTAACCTATCCACCGCTGCCCACTGGATGGGGGGCGGTGTGCAGGACAAACATATCAATTTTGACGCTAGCTCTCCACATATGTCAGTTGCTTAATTTAGAACCTGTACTTGAGGTCGATCTCGAACCCATTGTTGATGTGACGACTTATATTGAATTTTGTAACTAGCTCATCAAGATTGTAACTTGCTTAGCTAAATGAATTGTGGGGTTCAGTCCCTGAGCCCATTATGTGCCTCTGTAACCCTTTCCACTACCGCCCACAAGATGGGTATGGGGTGCATAATAAATGAACTAAACTAACTAACTAACTTTGAAAATGTAATAAGTTATTACGAAATGCGTTTAAGCGTCGCGTCAGACTGGAAATAAAAATTAATTTTGGAGAATTGATTTTTCAATTACCATCGACAGTAAAAAGAAACATAAGAAATTTTGAGAAAATTCGTGTTAGAATTATTAATATATATATTTATATATAATTTTCAATAGATCTGTCAGCATTTCTCCGATATAAGTACTGTATCAAAATTAATATCATAAGGTGCCTTCTTATCACTTCCTGAGGCAGATATCATACAAGGAAACTCTCTCTGAATATCCCGCCAGCACTGTCACACAGCTGCAGAATATCCACCAATCACAGCAGCACAGAATACAAACTCCACCTATCACAGCAGTAGAATGTGCGCCAATCACAGCCTCAGAATATTCACCAATCACGGCTCAACACGTTTGATGCATTAATCAATGATCTGCCTTTACTTGGAGTATGAAATGTGCGGACTCCAGACCTTTGAGGCAGTAGTCAACAAGGGCTCCAGGAAGGACGTTACGGCCTCAAGATGATTGCTCTCTTTCTCCTCTCCGTGGTAAGAAAAGTTCGTAAGTTATACGTTACAACTTATAGGTTATAAATTATGTCCCCAAACCTCACAGTGAAACGGCAAAACATACACGACAAAGCTAAACGACTTAATAAAAACAGAACTAAACAAAATGTCGAAATTTAAGACGAGTAGATGACAGGTGAACAAGACAGTACGAGGAGAAGAGGACGAAGTCCTTCAAATAATAATAATAAATAAATAAATTTTTATTTAGGTAAGGTACATACATGCAAAGTATGATACAAAAGTTGATGGATTTATAGATAGAGCTAGTACATACAATGCCTAAAGCCACTATTACGCAAAGTTTTTCGGGCAGAGTTCAAATTCAAATCCTTACCCAGTAAGGCAGATACCAAGCCTATACATCTACGACGACAAGCAGACACAAACGCAGATGGACGATGGATAATTTTAATAATTTGCAGAACACAAGAGCAATTCCTCGACACCCTGAGAACAATGTCGGGAATATGAATTGCTTCTACGCTAATGCCAGAAGCCTAATAAAATACATCTGACGTACTGTGGGGAATCAGGAACCCGTTCTCGCACTTTCTTATAGTCAGTATTGACTTATTAAATAAGTGCATATGTGACATACTAATTTATTGTGAATATTTTAGTTTACCTTGAAAAGCTTCATAGAAAACACCGACCTTACCTAACCTTCTAAGTATGCTAAGATAAGCATCTTATTGCTTCTTAATTACAATTATTACTTAACCAATTATAGGTATAGGTTAAGTAATAATTGTAATTATGAAGCAATAAGATGCTTTACTTAACATACTAAGAAGGTTAGGTAAGGTCGGTGTTTTCTATGAAGCTTTTCAAGGTAAACTAAAATATTCACAATAAATTAGTATGTCACATATGCACTTATTTAATAAGTCAATACTGACTATAAGAAAGTGCGAGAACGGGTTGGGGTATTCACCACAGACCGAATATTTCGACATCATTGTTCTCCACGAGACATGGGGAAGACATCATTGTTCTCCACGAGACATGGGGAAGACATCATTGTTCTCCACGAGACATGGGGAAGACATCATTGTTCTCCACGAGACATGGGGAAGACATCATTGTTCTCCACGAGACATGGGGAAGACATCATTGTTCTCCACGAGACATGGGGAAGACATCATTGTTCTCCACGAGACATGGGGAAGACATCATTGTTCTCCACGAGACATGGGGAAGACATCATTGTTCTCCACGAGACATGGGGAAGACATCATTGTTCTCCACGAGACATGGGGAAGACATCATTGTTCTCCACGAGACATGGGGAAGACATCATTGTTCTCCACGAGACATGGGGAAGAGAAGATATCTACTTGAATTACCCGAGAGTCACTAACACTAGTGGCCTCGCTGAGGACAGGAAGCCGGCGGCTTGTTGAGGGTGAATATTACATATTACAAGAGAGTTCCATCTTCCAGGATACCTTTCAGGAAGGACAGAACGTGAAGGTGGTGGTGTGATGCCATATTTTGTTTTATTATTTATTTATTTATATATAACAAGGTATTAGCAACCCATCCTTCTGTTTAGATAGTATCTTTTTGTAACTATGTGTACCATAGTACAAATATTGACGTACTAAACAATTAGGTAATAGAATTTTGTACTATTCACCTTATAGTCCTATAGAAAAATGAAGCTAATAAAACAACCTTAAATATTCCTAGGCCAAGTATATCATACCTATGTACAATATTAGGCCTCAGCTAGCGTGTATTAGGTCTAGGAAAGTTAGGTTAGTTTAATTTGTCTCTGCAACATAAGTAGAAAATCGTTTCCCGGTTTGTCCAAATTCAATAGTAGCGATCCAGTTCTCTCCCAGCCGTGGTGGAGGGAGGGTGCGGCTTGGAGCGCTCTAGAGAGTTGTGAACTTGTGATCCAGTTCACAGGTGACGGACAAGACTATTCCAAGCCTTTTCAGGTAGCAATAGAGACAAAAACGGAAAACTGTGCAGAGAGTTAAGTGATACTGACAGTGATGAACGACCAATGTAGTGATCGACGACAGACGGGACCTGGGTTACAAAGTTCTATACAAACTCAGCAGGAAAATCTTACCGGAAGGATACAACACGACCACACACGGCAAGAGGCACAGATTATGGAAGGAAGCGGCTGTTATTTCCCTCCGCATGTCAACTAACTGTTCATCAGAAGCCTCAGAGTGGACCGTTCAATTGGCCAAGGAATTTGGTGGATATGAACCATTTAGCAGTCTCCGTGGTGTAGTGGTAAGACACTCGCCTGGCGTTCCGCGAGCGCTATGTCATGGGTTCGTATCCTGGCCGGGGAGGATTTACTGGGCGCAATTCCTTAACTGTAGCCTCTGTTTAACGCAACAGTAAAATGTGTACTTGGATGAAAAAACGATTCTTCGCGGCAGGGGATCGTATTCCAGGGACCATAGGATTAAGGACTTGCCCGAAACGCTACGCGTACTAGTGGCTGTACAAGAATGTAACAACTCTTGTATATATCTCAAAAAAAAAAAAAAAAAAAAAAAAAAATTATTTAAGGCGGGTGTTCACCGGCCCTACATAATGTTTGGGACAGAAGAGGTTGTGGAATATCTAACGACTGACGGATTTAAGAATGTTGGGTTGGGGCAACATTGTTATGGTTACTCCTGAAGTGGGAATAATCTACACTAAACTTATTGTTTTTAAGTATCCGACATACTTGGATCCTGAATTTCTTCATTCATTCAAAACCTCTGAGTGTGGATGGACTTCAATCTAAAGTTATAAAGGAACTGGCAGATGATCAGAAAATCTCTGATTTTCCCAGGTTGGAAATATGCAAATGTCCCCCCAACCCTTTTCTAAAAAGGCAGGAAGGAAGTCACCAGAAAGCTACCGACCGATCAGCTTGGCCTCACATATCTGCATAGTCAGAGAGAGAATCTTAACTGAGGAAATCACTCGCCATCTCACAGTGAGGACTCTAGTAATATCAACTCAACATGGATTTGTTAAAAATAGATCCTGCCTTACAAACCTGCTCACATTTTTGGAAACGAAAACCAGCTATTCAGACAGAGACCTTCTGGTAGATGTAGTACACATGGACTTACCAAAAGCTTTTGATAAGGCACCACATGGCTACGAGGCCCCCTCGACCAGGCCTGAGTGGTAAAGTACCAGAATGCACCAAACTGGTTAAATCTAAGAAAACTAAGGGTCGTTCTAGAAGGAAACGATCGACCTGACTGGATAAATGTGGGGACCCTTTTCAAGGGAAAATGTGGCTATTCAACTGTACAAGTCACTGGTGCGCCCCGTCCGCACCATTGTAGCCAAGATTGGAGACCTTTTCTTCAACTTTCTGCCTCGGAGAAAGTAAAATATTGAGCGACAACAAACATCCCGGAACCGAGTCGACTTTCATACCAGGAAAGGTTACTAAGGGCCACAGGACTAACATTACCAGCAAGCCAGACTTGACAGGACAGATCCCGTAGAGTTAATCTAGATAACTTCTTAATATTTAGATTTTTTTTTTTTTTTTTTTGTTGAGATATATACAAGAGTTGTTACATGGTTGTAGAGCCACTAGTACGCGTAGCGTTTCGGGCAAATCCTTAATCCTATGGTCCCTGGAATACGATCCCCGCCGCGAAGAATCGTTTTTTCATCCAAGTACACATTTTACTGTTGCGTTAAACAAAGGCTACAGTTAAGGAATTGCGCCCAGTAAATCCTCCCCGGCCAGGATACGAACCCATGACATAGCGCTCGCGGAACGCCAGGCGAGTGTCTTACCACTACACCACGGAGACTGCTAATTCATATAAAGGTACATACATTGAGTTACATACATAATATTGGATTTATAGATAGAGATAGTACACACAATACCTAAAGCCACTAGTACGCATAGCGTTTCTGGCAAGGTCAGATGTCAACCCTGACCAGATGTAGGTCAGATTAAAAGGTCAGATGTAACACAAACAAGGCGCAACAGCTTCAACCTTAACAATGTACAACAAAAGGAGATGCCTTTTCATCCGGAGGGTTATAATTCTATGCAACCACCTACCCGCCCAAGACGGTGATACCAAGACGTTACGGCAGTTCAAAATCCAATTAGAAACAAAAATTCTTAGCAAAAACGCGAAGGGGGGGGGGGGACCTTTGACAAGCCGCTGGCTTCCTGTCCTCGTCATGGGCCGCTAAACAGATGGTGGTGCTAGAGAAAATTCAGGTTGATCTCCTTTCTCTCTGGAAGACAAGATGCATCCTCACCTCTCTCTGGAAGACAAGATGCATCCTCACCTCTCTCTGGAAAACAAGATGCATCCTCACCTCTCTCTGGAAGACAAGATGCATCCTCACCTCTCTCTGGAAGACAGGAAACATCCTCACCTCTCTCTGGAAGACAGGAAACATCCTCACCTCTCTCTGGAAGACAGGAAACATCCTCACCTCTCTCTGGAAGACAGGAAACATCCTCACCTCTCTCTGGAAGACAGGAAACATCCTCACCTCTCTCTGGAAGACAGGAAACATCCTCACCTCTCTCTGGAAGACAGGAAACATCCTCACCTCTCTCTGGAAGACAAGAAACATCCTCACCTCTCTCTGGAAGACAGGAAACATCCTCACCTCTCTCTGGAAGACAGGAAACATCCTCACCTCTCTCTGGAAGACAGGAAACATCCTCACCTCTCTCTGGAAGATAGGAAACATCCTCACCTCTCTCTGGAAGACAGGAAAACATCCTCACCTCTCTCTGGAAGACAAGAAACATCCTCACCTCTCTCTGGAAGACAGGAAACATCCTCACCTCTCTCTGGAAGACAGGAAACATCCTCATCTCTCTCTGGAAGACAAGAAACATCCTCACCTCTCTCTGGAAAACAAGATGCATCCTCACCTCTCTCTGGAAGACAAGAAACATCCTCACCTCTCTCTGGAAGACAAGAAACATCCTCACCTCTCTCTGGAAGACAGGAAAACATCCTCACCTCTCTCTGGAAGACAGGAACATCCTCACCTCTCTCTGGAAGACAGGAAACATCCTCACCTCTCTCTGGAAGACAGGAAAACATCCTCACCTCTCTCTGGAAGACAAGAAACATCCTCACCTCTCTCTGGAAGACAGGAAAACATCCTCACCTCTCTCTGGAAGACAGGAAACATCCTCACCTCTCTCTGGAAGACAGGAAACATCCTCACCTCTCTCTGGAAGACAGGAAACATCCTCACCTCTCTCTGGAAGACAGGAAACATCCTCACCTCTCTCTGGAAGACAGGAAACATCCTCACCTCTCTCTGGAAGACAGGAAACATCCTCACCTCTCTCTGGAAGACAGGAAACATCCTCACCTCTCTCTGGAAGACAGGAAAACATCCTCACCTCTCTCTGGAAGACAGGAAACATCCTCACCTCTCTCTGGAAGACAGGAAACATCCTCACCTCTCTCTGGAAGACAAGAAACATCCTCACCTCTCTCTGGAAGACAGGAAACATCCTCACCTCTCTCTGGAAGACAGGAAACATCCTCACCTCTCTCTGGAAGATAAGATGCATCCTCACCTCTCTCTGGAAGACAAGATGCATCCTCACCTCTCTCTGGAAGACAGGAAACATCCTCACCTCTCTCTGGAAGACAAGATACATCCTCACCTCTCTCTGGAAGACAGGAAACATCCTCACCTCTCTCTGGAAGACAGGAAACATCCTCACCTCTCTCTGGAAGACAGGATACATCCTCACCTCTCTCTGGAAGACAGGGAACATCCTCACCTCTCTCTGGAAGACAGGAAACATCCTCAGAAACATCCTCACCTCTCTCTGGAAGACAGGACAGGAAACATCCTCACCTCTCTCTGGAAGACAGAAAACATCCTCACCTCTCTCTGGAAGAGAAACATCCTCACCTCTCTCTGGAAGACAGGAAACATCCTCACCTCTCTCTGGAAGACAGGAAACATCCTCACCTCTCTCTGGAAGACAAGAAACATCCTCACCTCTCTCTGGAAGAAACATCCTCACCTCTCTCTGGAAGACAGGAAACATCCTCACCTCTCTCTGGAAGACAGGAAACATCCTCACCTCTCTCTGGAAGACAGATCCTCACCTCTCTCTGGAAGACAGGAAACATCCTCACCTCTCTCTGGAAGACAGGAAAACATCCTCACCTCTCTCTGGAAGACAGGAAACATCCTCACCTCTCTCTGGAAGACAGGGACCTCTCTCTGGAAGACAGGGAACATCCTCACCTCTCTCTGGAAGACAGGAAACATCCTCACCTCTCTCTGGAAGACAGGAAACATCCTCACCTCTCTCTGGAAGACAGGAAAACATCCTCACCTCTCTCTGGAAGACAGGGAACATCCTCACCTCTCTCTGGAAGACAAGAACACCTATTCATCCCTAAGCACTTTCCTGCCTTGTGAGAAAACACTTACAGCACACACAAAAAAAGTTGATATATTTACTATAATACATAATAACATTTTATTAAAATATTCGAAAAATGCTTTAAGGTTATATGATTAGTAATATTTCCTAACTGATTTATTTCAACGTATTTAGAAATATTATATATAAATATGGACATATTTTTCCCTCAGGTGACCTGTGGCTGTGTAGGCCAGACTCTCATTGACCCAATTCCTCGTCCTTGTCGCAGTTTGGTAAGATAAAGTCTAATTATGATATTTTTCTTCACACACACATACATATGTTGACCAGATCACACACTAGAAGGTGAAGGGACGACGACGTTTCGGTCCGTCATGGACCATTCTCAAGTAGATTGTATTCGTTATAAAAAGTTATAAAAAATATAAAAATACTTCAGCTACGTTATTGTGAGTCATCGTCCACACATACATGTCACACATCACACACACTGTGGGAAAACTTGACTCATGTAAATCATATAAATTGATACTCTTTCGATAGCTACGCAGGACCTCCACTTTTTGAGAAAAAGTGGTAAACAAGGGTTATCTTGAGATGATTTCGGGGCTTAAGTGTCCCCGCGGCCCGGTCCTCGACCAGGCCTCCACCCCCAGGAAGCCAGGAAGCAGCCCGTGACAGCTGACTAACACCCAGGTACTTATTTTACTGCTAGGTAACAGGGGGCATAGGGTGAAAGAAACTCTGCCCAATGTTTCTCGCCGGCGCCTGGGATCGAACCCAGGACCACAGGATCACAAGTCCAGTGTGCTGTCCACTCGGCCGACCGGCTCCCTATAGGGTAGAGCAAGTGGTTAAATATTTTACTCCATGAACTAGTGTCCTGTTGATGTTTAAACTTATATTACATTGAATATTAAAGGGACTGTATTATGAGTCAAATTCACTCACTCAAATTGGGGGGTTACATGCTACAAGATGAGTACATCCCTAGCATTATTCTGGCGCTGGTTCTTCGCCAGAGTAATCATAATATGAATGTAAATAAAATGGATTATATCATAATAATTAGAGATAAATGCACCTCAATATACTACTGTAATATAGACTAATATTACTATGGCAATGGTTAGTAATATTGATCTCCTTGTGAGATCATTAATACATGGTTATTTCTACAAATAAACATTAACAGCTTAGTTGTAAATCTAGAGAGGTGTAATCTACGCTCCACCGACGACGTGTTGTAATTCAATTTCTTTCTTTATTGCATCGGGTAAATTGTTGCACGTGTAGCCTAACATTAATAGCCTGTAGCCTATTGCACGGGGAAGCCTAACACCTCGGTTGACGTGGACTCGGGAGAGCACTTACCCAAACACTTACGAACCTGTCCATCTTTTCTCAATCTTTGGCGGCTTTGTTTACAATTATTAAACAGTTAATGAGCTCCGAAGCACCAAGAGGCTGTTTATAACAATAACAACAGTTGATTGGCAAGTTTTCATGCTTGTAAACTGTTTAATAAATGTAACCAAAGCCGTCAAAGATTGAGGAAAGATGTACACGTTCGTAAGTGCTTGCGTAACTGATTTCGTGAATCTGGCCCCAGCTGGAAGGCAATTACAGTGTAGAAATCTACTACTGCTTAAGTAACAAGAAGTACATCCTAGAATAAGACATTCTTCCGCAAGAAAATTAATTGATGTATATACACAATACAATACAATACAATACAATTTTATTTAGGTAAGGTACATACATACAATAAATATTTACAAGGATTGTTTAACTTATAGGTATAGCTAGTACATACAATGCCTAAAGCCACTATTACGCAAAGCGTTTCGGGCATAACGAACACTTGTCCAGCATATCCAGCACTTGGATATGCATATCCACATATTGGATATGCATATCCACACTTGGATATGCATTTATATGGATATGCATTGATATGCACACTTGGATATCCAGCACTTGGATATGCATATCCACACTTGGATATGCATTTATATGGATATGCATTGATATGCACACTTGGATATCCAGCACTTGGATATGCATATCCACATATCCACCACTTGTCAGGTTCTTCTACAGAAATAAAGAATATAATCTCCTAAGTTATAAAAAATTGCTAGAGAGATAACATACGAGATTTTGTTATTTTGCATTCGTCCTAACAACAACTAGCCTAAATGTTAACTGTGGCCACGTGATAACAGTTAGTTTAGTTCATTTATTATGCACCCCATACCCATCCTGTGGGCGGTGGTTGGCAACCCGTTCTCGCACTTGCTTATAGTCAATATTGGCTTATTTAGTAAGTGCATATGTGACATACTAATTGATTGTGAATATTTTAGTTTACCTTGAAAAGCTTCATAGAAAACACCGACCTCACCTAACCTTCTTAGTATGTTAAGATAAGCATCTTATTGCTTCTTAATTACAATTATTACTTAACCTATACCGTTGATATTAATTATTAATAACTGTTGGTTATTTCCAACACACACACACACATACATATGTCATACATCACACACATATACATAAGTCACACATCATACACACATACATATGTCACACATCACACCCCCCCCTGTCACTTTACATTGTAATTATATATTGATATAAAATTTTGCCACACTACCTTTTCATCTTACCTGATCTGTTAGATTAAGGACCTGCGCGAAACGCTATGCGCGTTAGAGGCTTTGCAAGAATGTAAACAAAAAAATATATAATCTCACCAACCCATTGTACCTTCTTATAAATAAATAAATAAATAAATAAATAAATAAATAAATAAATAAATAAATATCACACACATACACGACACACACTATTAAACAGACCAGCATATGTGACCTCTACATAAAATTAAGAGAGGAGGGGTAATGATTAGATTTCATTGGCAGGATAAAGCACTAAGCCGCTACAACTGTACAGTATAGCACTTGGAAATGATGAGGATAAGGATTTGAGATAAAAGGGAATGGAAGGAACGGTGCCCAATCGTTCCTGCGGTCGGGGATTGAACGCCGACATGCGTGAAGCAAGACCGTCGCTCTACCATCCACCCCAAGTGGGGTGGAGTGGGAAGGGGGGCGGAGGGAGGACGAAATTGAAATTGAAATAAGTTTATTGAGGTAAAATCCACACAAAGGGATGAGGTAGCTCAATCTATTCTCACCCCGTTCAGTACATCGTGTTAATACATACATATACACACATCACAAGCAATAAACATATTACCGAACATTCTGAGAGATAAACATATACATTTCCTCCTTTACACAAGTAGAATGGTATCAGACGTACACACAAATACTTTAATGACCTAGGTATACTGTATAGACAATTTTATATATATCTTAGTTGGATTCTATTGTTTTAGCCTATTAATATATAATGATATTTATAAATCTTTTAACTCTTGTGTAAAGCAAATTTATTTTGTTGACGGAATATTATCTACTCAACTCTTCTATGTTTAGAAAGCTAACTGAAGATGAACATTGTTTCCAGGGCAGCCCCGTGAGCTGGCAAGCGAGGCCCTCAGACAAGCACAACGAGTATCCTTCAGGCGGGGTGAGTGTACATGATAATGTTCGCGATGTTGACACTGTATAAGAGACACTTAGCTAAACAGGTGGATTACAGGCTATTCATGCCCGTGCCACCTCTTGGGTGACTTAATCTTTATCAATGAAGCAGGCGGAGGTGTTATACACACTCCATGCACCATAACTCTTGTCTTACAGCTGCTGATGGCCCTGGCTTCGATCCCCAGTGGTGTGGAGGGAGTGTTCGAGTTCTACTTGTGCCCGGAGGAGGTCAACTCGCAGGAGGAAGAGTGTCTGGAGAGGTAAGTCCTGTGGGCGACTTCTGGGTGACAGGAGGTACTGTGAGGCAGGTGGTACTGTGAGTATCTCTCTCCCTGCCTCTCTCTCAGGGTGTCAAGTGACCCATAGCACAGTGCTACACTAGGGGCACTGAGTGCGGGGTGTAGCTGTCAAGTGTCCCGGTGCCCACTTGACACAATATCGAAAAACAACGCCATTTCAACGTCGCCAACTTTTACTGAACTCGTGGATATTTTTCCCGTGGCGCAGTGGTAAAATACTCACCCGGCGCTTTGACCTGCGTTCGTATCCTGGCCGGAGAAGAATGATTGGGCGCCAATCATTAACTGTTGCCTCTGTTCACCCAGCAGTGAATGGGTACCTGGTTGTTAAACGATTTGGCGGGTCGTAGTCCGGGGAAAATTAGGATTAAGGACCTGCCCAAAATGCTATGCCTGCTAGTGGCTGTACAAGAATGTAAGAACTCTTCTATATATAAATAAATAAAACAAGTGTAAGCAGTGTGACGTTACAGGCTAAGACGAGCGTTTATCCGGTAAGATCAACCTTAAGTGTGAAGGTGTGGTTTGGTGATGGGCCCTTCTACCACTGTAGGGTAATTAAGGCGCCACAATATGTCATTGACTAACAACAACAAGGATAGAAATAATCTGAGCTACTCTGTCCTATTGAGATGTATTCTATGGTCTCAAAATACTTGAACTTGACCAACGACCACACTTTAGTCAAAGACTATAATAAACACAACGCATATACACTGAAACAACACAATGAACTATTCTTATAATATACTGGTCTGTATGAAACTAATCCAAATCGCTTACAAAGTTATGACATCTACTGAAGACCTGACGGGACAAAAAATTCAAAGCAAGAGTGACTTATAACTCAGGACACCACAGACCAACAGCTTTTCAGGGTCAAGCATTCGAGCTGCTTGAATCAATGAACAGTTTCAAGAATATGACGCAGGTCACTTAAAGATGTATCATAATGTGTTGAGAAACATTGTTAGAAGTGATGGGAAGTGCTTCTATAAGTTAGACCAGTGGTTGCAAGCGGTGAATGTGGTCCAGAGTGGACCGGGGATGTGGTCCAGAGTGGACCGGGGATGTGGTCCAGAGTGGACCGGGGATGTGGTCCAGAGTGGACCTGGGATGTGGTCAAGAGTGGACCGGGTGTGGGCCAGGATGTGTTCTTGCCGGTGGTGCCAACAAGTTTCAGTGGGACCCTGGAGTAAAGGTACAAGAGGTTGGTGCATATTTACGTTGATTTCATTGTATACTCGGAAATATTCAGTTAAAGGAATACGCCTTAAGTTCTCATTCATACATTTCCTATATATATGTGTCATAAACTAGTCCGTAAGCTAGTCAAGAGATATATATGTTATTTTTTAATGAAAGGAAATACTGAAAGTAGAATCAGAGATCAAATATGATGTCACATGTGCAACACCGTATAAGGAACCACAACACACCTTAGACAACACCCCACCAGACAGCAATATACAACACCACCCCCCGGATATAACAATCATGCCAGCGCCTTCTCAACAGGCTGCCCCTACAACTGGCTGACGGCTCCGGCACAACCTTCAACCTGTCGACGGTGACGCGCGCTGACAAGTACGAGATTCCCATAGTCCTCCCTGACGACACGACGTGTGAGCTGTGTACACTGCAGGTGAGGTGTGGGGGAGGCTCCCTCAGGTCCGCAGACCGACCTGCTTGTGTGATATTCATATTATTATCTCTCATAATCCTAGAATATAATTATATATACTAGTATACATCTAGTATATAATTTATCCTAGAATATTATAATTTAAATGTATATAAATATGAAATGATTAACATGAAGGCATAATATGAGGCTTATGTGCGTGTACTGTATTGTGTTATGATGTGGGTGCTACAGTGGCACTTGGTGATGAAGGAGTGTGAGGATGAGGACTGCACCATAGTTGACCGCGTCTTCTGTTCCGACGTCACCATCCGTGAGGCCAAGTAAGTATCTTTTCCTCGCGAAGTTTAACTTATAACCTTTATTAACAAAAGTCGTAGTAGGAAGCTAAGTCACCACCTCACTGGGAATGGTCAGCCCCAAGGGAAGATCCCAAGGGATCCCAAGGGACCAGATGACACTAGAGGTTGAGATGCAAGTCTTGTGATGCACATATGAGTGCCGTCTTCACCACAAGCACCCGGTCCACTCCAGCAAGCCTGAGGAACTTTACAAGACATCCATCGTCACTAAGACCCGTTGAGGGGGTTTTAACAACGACAATGAGCCACAAACGCTTAAAGTCAGAACTCGCCCCCTTGGATGGCCATGGTTTCATCCAAAGCAACGTCTTGAAGTTCCTAAAAGAAGGCGCCGGCATTACACCTATTGACCTTGGTCAAGAAGTGGAGAATATTGTGCTTTATTTCTCGTGTGTGGAGGATCTCGAAAAACTCCAAAAATTCGATCGCACTCTTCGCCAAGTGTGTGATCTCTTACCTCTCTCCCCACGTTAGTACACCGCAGAGCGAACAGTCATTATCAGCGGGACCACCCGCTGGATCGCGGACCGAGAACACAAGGGTATCATTACCAACATCGAGGACGAAAACCCGAACCTGGGGCTATACTCTGCAGCACCGATACCGACAAAGACAAGCGCCCCACCATGAAGATCTCCTTCACCACCTTAGCCACGGCTAACCAGGCTGCCACACATGGTCTCTACTGCTTCGGCATCAAGATTCCACCCTTCCAAGTGAAGAAGGAACGATTCCTTCTTGCTATAAGCCAGATGCATAATACGACCTTACCAGTCCTACCAAATAGTGGCTCCTCCCAACACATCACCCGGCCTCCACACTGGGGACCTAAGGACCAACCAGCACCCCTCATAGTTCCTTGTATCACGTGCAGGCATTATCCCTGATCTTATTTGACTAGCGGAGAGGCTTGCCGGACTAGACAATCAACGAGTCGTCAAGGAACTAAACGCGCCGTACCTAGCCTTCACCTCATCATCGCCCCGGACGCAAGTCTCACTGCCTCCACTACCACTCTGGAGACTACCACCAGGACGACCACGAGGTCGATCTCAACACAGACTCCAGAACCTCCCAAGACCCGGGCGGCACAAACAGAGGTATTCTCCTCTCCAGCTCCCAACACTCCTACCATCACCATCTCAGCAGACGCGCTCGCAGACGTGCTGTCTACAAATGTTAACAGTACCACCAACGCTCCTGAAATAGCTTCTACCACTAATCCACTACACCTGAGCCTACCTCAGGCTGTGAGACCAAAGACAAAACCACCAACTACGGATGGTACGGACTCAGACGAAGAAATCTTAGTAGGAGCTCCACCGATGCAGACCTACTAAATACGACACCTACTCGGTACAAGAACTCCTCATGGAGGCCACCTCACCAAACTCCAACGACTGCACAACTCAGCCAAAGAAAAAAATGGAAGGCCTAGAGGTCTACACAAACCCACCAGCTCCATAACTGGTACGGCCAGCCCTCCGAGGCTGAAATCCACCATGAAGACCCCATCCACCTACAGATGGATGGGGTCTTGTATCAGGTATTGTTTCTGGTAATGGCTCCAAAGAGCCCCCACTTACGGGTTATTCATGCCCGTGCCATGAATCTTTATTGGTCAATCAATCAAATTCAAGGGTGTATTGTAGTGTATTATAAAATACATTTACTCAAACATTTAAGAAGGATGAAAAGGCAATACGACGGTAAGGCATATCTCCGGTGCCAGGTAAGTACGACGGGCTCACCATAGCCCGTGCTGCTTGGAACTTTTTGTTCTGCGTAGCTGACTCTAAAACAACAAACACCAACAGGCAATGCAAGATATAACTAACAGGAACCGTAAACCTTGCAGTGAAAAATACCTGGATTCGTCCTGTAATTTATTCTAACAATCCTCGTGCAACTCTCTTCATTATAAAAATAAAGAATAACAGCTTTCCTCATTATGAAACTAACATTTCCGCCTCTTCTGGCAAACTGAAGTGTACTTCAAACTGAAGTAACTTCATGTAGCACTAATGTAGTTTATAATTACAAGCACAATTCTGGAGATTTTAATATTTACATATTTCTTGGACATTTGTTATAGAGTTTTGAAACTTCTAGATACTAATAATCAAGTATAAGCTAAGGGAAGACGATGAAAGGCTTTCTGGGAAAATACCTAAGTACCTAGTTAAACCCGTACCATTTTCTTCTATTATTTATTATACAAAATCAATTTTTCAGAGACTCGGAGAAAAGGGTCTTCGGTCTTCTCTTCAACATAATTGGTGGCATGTTTAGAAAGATGACAGACCAGTGATAACTACTGAACTACGCTCCCTGCCAAACAAGGCTGCCTGCCCGACGAGGCTCCCTGCCCGACGAGGCTCCCTGCCCGACGAGGCTCCCTGCCCGACGAGGCTCCCTGCCAAACAAGGCTGCCTGCCCGACGAGGCTCCCTGCCCGGAAAACGAACAAAACTACATACATGAATTATAACATATCTTGCGGGATCATGAGGCACTTGTAACAGTTGGCCATGGAAGCATTCGTGTTGAAATTAATTTATTTAACATAGAACTTTAGATGAAATATACAACATATTTTCTGACCAGGGGGAGAAAGATACTGGCAGTATGGGGCGTTAAAGTTTATTGAAGATTAAATTCTGCAGAACATGTAAATGTATAAAGTTCAAATATAAAGTAAGTAATTATATAAAGTTTATATTAAACACGGTTTATATTATAGGCTTATAACAAAGTTGATATTATTAAACTTAATATTGAACATTTAAATATATAAAGTTTCAAAATATATAATTTAAGGACTATATAACGTTATATTAAAATATATAAAGTAAATATATAAAGTAAGAATTAACAGTAACAATTCCAAGTCCGAGGACTAGATTTAACTTAAAAGGTACACCCGTAGTAAGTATGAGACCTTAGCCTATAGTGACATGGAAACTAATTCTGCAGAAACCTAAAGGTTAACTGGTACTAGAATTAAGGCCGAGTGCAAATGTGTAGTAATTATATAACACTAGGATATAACAGGCAGGACACAAAGAATAACTAATAAGTGAGAGACCACATAACACGTAATGTACCCGGCCAAGAGGCCGTAAAAGACCTAATGGATAAGGAGAAGGGGGTGTGACTACAAGTAGGGCTTACTAGCACCTAGACTGGGCAAAGTATTAGCTGCGGACAGCGGGACACTTGGGGACCGGCGCTGCACCCCCCTTCCTACATGCAGTGGGGAGACAATCGGGACAACTGTGCAAAGCATGACGGGGGTACAAAAGCAGCCGCTTGCAAAGGGGGGGAGGGTGGGGTTTTGCGAGGGCAGCGGCGAGGGCAGGCGGAGTGAGGCAGAGCCCCAGTGTGCGCCCGTATTTATACAGGCCCCAAACTGCCCGCGCAACGCCGCGGGACGCGCTGCGCAATTGTTTCTTTCTCCCCCGCCAGAAAAATCCCCGCTTGCGATCAAGCAGTGACCATTTTCTGACCAGGGGGAGAAAGATACTGGCAGTATGGGGCGTTAAAGTTTATTGAAGATTAAATTCTGCAGAACATGTAAATGTATAAAGTTCAAATATAAAGTAAGTAATTATATAAAGTTTATATTAAACACGGTTTATATTATAGGCTTATAACAAAGTTGATATTATTAAACTTAATATTGAACATGTAAATATATAAAGTTTCAAAATATATAATTTAAGGACTATATAACGTTTATATTAAAATATATAAAGTAAATATATAAAGTAAGAATTAACAGTAACAATTCCAAGTCCGAGGACTAGATTTAACTTAAAAGGTACACCCGTAGTAAGTATGAGACCTTAGCCTATAGTGACATGGAAACTAATTCTGCAGAAACCTAAAGGTTAACTGGTACTAGAATTAAGGCCGAGTGCAAATGTGTAGTAATTATATAACACTAGGATATAACAGGCAGGACACAAAGAATAACTAATAAGTGAGAGACCACATAACACGTAATGTACCCGGCCAAGAGGCCGTAAAAGACCTAATGGATAAGGAGAAGGGGGTGTGACTACAAGTAGGGCTTACTAGCACCTAGACTGGGCAAAGTATTAGCTGCGGACAGCGGGACACTTGGGGACCGGCGCTGCACCCCCACCGCAGGCCAGCGGCCGGACCCCCCCCCGAAGGGCGAGTGCCAGCTGGCCGCGTGAGGCACTCAATGTAGCAGAGCAACAACGTCCCGTCTGACGTAGGATGTGGGCACTACTCTTCCGCCTGCCGTTTGCCATTATTTCTGATGTGGCGAGCCCGTCCCGAGACAGCTGGGTGCGGGGCGTAGTCATCTGAAGTCAAGCCTAGCGCCGAGAGGGCAGCGCGTAGGATCCTGGAGAAATCTCGCCTGGTGACAGGAGCGCTTGTAGGATCTGTGCTTGTAGGATCCGAAGAGTGTTGATTCCTGACCATGTAAGCGATACCTGGTCCAGTCGGAGTGTGCGTCGATTTTTTGTCGCGTAGCTCACCTCCCCCGGGCTGAAAGATATAAGGCAGTAAGGGTGGGCAGAAGCGGCGTGCAGTGTTAACGTGACAGGCAAGAGCACAGACGAGAGGGAAACCCTAGCTGAATCAATACGGAGACGAAAAACGGGGGAGGGAGCCCGGCAGCAGGAATTAAGAGAAACCTTAATTAACAATCCTGGATGAATAAAGAGCATCCGAATAATTATACTGTAGCAATGAAGGGGGGCTAACAAATCTAAGAATCTTCCAGCAAACGGAAGGGGGAAGTACCTTTGCTAAGAGCAAAGGTGGGAGAAAACCGGTAGAACAGCAAGGAGGCACAAAGCAACTATAACAGGGTAAGACGAAACACTATAAATCTTGAATATAAACAATACATATACCAAGAAAGGGTATAACAACTAAGCAACATATACATAATCAATAAAATGGAATAAGAACCAATTCTTAAAGCCAAATCTATAACATGCTTGTGTCCTAATCGGATGTAGAATGTGAGCGGGGAACATTACCCTTGGTCTCTATCCCATCTCTGCCTCCAGACGGGTGATTGGGCTGGATAGAAGCCAAGGAGTCTGCCTTGAGTGGCCGCTGAGTGTAGTCTTGTGTTGTCAATGAGCATCTGCGAGCCGCAGCTAGTACGCCGTGAACTTCGGCAACATCTTTAGAACAGGAGCAAAGTGAAATCGACGGCAGGGAGCTGCCATTCAGTAACTGTAATAAGGATAATAATAAGAATACAATGTCGTAAATAATCGTACAATGAAGAATACAATGTAATATCGTAAATAACAGATGACGGCAAGTGCCGCAGAATGGAAGAAATTAAGAAAGCAACGCCAAACCATAATAACAATTTATATTTTAATAAAATAATACTGGAATGACAGTAACGGTACGGAGTAATATTAATACTGCCATATAGCCCAGCAAATAAAGAGAAGATAATAGTATTAACGTAGGCCCTGGGCGGCTGCATCCCGGCACCGCTGCGTGCGTTGATGGTGATCAGAGGAATATCCGGCTCGCGTTCTCTTCCTCGCCGCAGTAGGGTGTGAAGGGGGGGGGGTTCCGGCTTGTCGTGGCTGCGAATAAAGGGAACAGAAGAAACCGGCATTGAGCGCCAAGCGGGCAGAGCGCAGTGGAAGGAATAGCGGTTGGAGGTAAGGGGCCCCTAACCTAATGATAGATGAGGTAAAATTAAATAGAATACTATTACGTAGTAGGAAACAACAAAGGCGAAGGAACAAGAAGAGTAAAATAGCCCAGAAGGCCGGATGGCCAAAGAACGTTAGCGACCTATGGCCAACAGCATGCTGGCTGCGCTGGCCAACCACAAGCTGGCCGACGTCATGCTAACTGACTGGCTTGAGCTTGCCGAAAGGAAGGCCGAATGGCCAGTTTTTTGCATGACACCGTGCGCGAGGCCAGCTAAACTTCTCGGTAGCGTCCAAATGTAACTTAATGTACTGTCGATACGATGAAGAATGGGTGGTCAGATATAATGCACAAATTCAGAATAGAATATATGAGGGAAACGAGTGTAATAGGACGAAATAACCGGAGGAGAAAAAAAAAAATTGTGGGGGGGGGGGCCACCCGAATGCACTGCAACTAGCGTACCTTAGCTGAAAATAACTTAAAGGCACAGAGGCAAAGCAATAGATTAATACAAATCCTAATTGATAGTCCCTTAATAACAAATTGAACGTGAAACTTAAACAAAGAGTAAATTGCGGGAGAAAAATTTTTCCGTAATAAATACAAATCAAATTGCGAGTCCAACAATAACAAAATTAACAGACACGCAGACGTAGGAGGAACCGATAAGCCGCGGCTCGCGCACCGCTAGCCATACCTAAACATACCTAGACAGGAAGGGGAGAAGCATAAAGGTAGCCCAGCAAAAGACTAGTAATTAGTAACTCTGCAAATAGCACATCCTGGCTGACTTTACTTAATAATTTACTTAGTAACTCTGCAAATAGCACATCCTGGCTGACTTTACTTAATAATTTACTTAGCAAATAGCAACACTGCTTAATAAATAGCGCATCCTGGCTGACTTTACTTAATAATTTACTTAGTAACTCTGCAAATAGCCCATCCTGGCTGCCTTTACTTAATAATTTAATTAGTAACTCTGCAAATAGCACATCCTGGCTGACTTTACGTAATGACGTAAGGCAAGGAAAATGAACAAACATACTGAACACAGCAACGCAAAATTAAACATGCGACATGAGCAAAGCATCAACTGTCGGAGTAAATTAAGGTAGGCTGTTTGGGAAAAGGAATCCGTGGTAATCTGAAAGCAGGAGGCATGTTAGTGCTGAAATGTAGAACGTAATTAAGAGGAAGGGCAAGGCATGTCGCGAGATGTCTGCCAGTACAAAATAAGAAACCTTCCATATAAGCGTATAAAATCTTAATTTACATTGTCTTAGGAAGGCAAAGAACGGGATATCATTAAATATACGACGTTCCCGACGACGCTTCGACGCCGCCATCTGCTGGAGTGTACCGTGCCCCAGGCAACGTGGGGGCCACCCCCCTGTCCAGGTCACCTGAATAGGGCAAGTCATGGCACGTGAAGTCTGCAGGTACAAAATAAGGGTATACAATCGGCGTGCATATATAACCATTTTTACATTAAGAGAACAGAGGGAAAGCATAACAAATATAACCTGATAAGTAACGTGAATAAACTGCAAGAGCCAAGCGTAAATACTGTAACCACTGAGGAAACTAAACTGCAAAGCTAAGCATAAACTACTGTAACTACCGATGAAACTAGGCAAAAATGCAGGGCCAGGAGACGTGAAGCTAAAATAAGGGCCCGCGAATACTGCAAATAGCACATCCTGGCTGACTTTACTTAATAATTTACTTAGTAACTCTGCAACTAGCACTGCCTGTCTGACTTTACTTAATAAATTACTTGGTAACTCTGCAAATAGCACATCCTGGCTGTCTTTACTTGACGTAAGGCAGGGTAAAAGTGGGCAAGCATACTGGACACAGCAACGCAAAAATAAACATGCGACATGAGCAACGCATCAACTGTCGGAGTAAATTAAGGAG